TTTAGTGGATAATTCCTTGCACGGTTACATAATAAACCGTTCCCTACTCGAATCATTTCTTGTGTCCACATATGTTAATTGCTTTTGAACCATCCTTTATTCTTATACAATGAAGTGACCATAATCATAGCACACGAGAAAGTTCGTGAATAGAATTGTATTTGAGGAATTCGGGAAGTTAATACTTATTTACAACAATATTGTTTACTCGATGACAGGTCAAAGGCAATAGTATTGCATCACTTGGCATTGATGCTATACATAGGTTCAAATGAAGCAAACAAAGTTAACAATTGCTTTCAAAAATGATTATATTATTTCCAGTCATTCCAAAATCTGCAGTATTCATTAATACCTACTCAAACAAAAGTTATGGAATATCGTACGATCTCCCTGGCACTATTGCTTCAATTTCAAAGGGATCAAAACAGTTCTTCATCCGAGCCCCTGGACTAACCGGACAATCAGGGACAGTTTCTTTGGAAAGTGTGGAATATCCCGGTTATTTTCTGCGACACTATGGGGCCTCGTGGGTAGGCTTCAAGAACATGAGTGAAGTAGGAAGCAATACTTCAGAAGCAACATTCACCATCCGTAGGAATAAGTGGTTCCAAGACAGTGTAGCATTTGAATCAGTGCTCTCCCCAGAATCCTTTCTCGCGCATGACAACTACAGGGTATTATTGTACCCAGATACAGGATCTCAACAATTTGCTAAGGATGCATCGTTCAGGTTACTGGAAGGTATGTGTGTAGTTAATAAAGCAACAAGTGCAGTAACACTTAAATCCCGTTTTGTCAATAATGAAGAATCGCTGCCGCCATTTTTTTTATTTCAGGGAGTAGTAGTTGAACACATTGGAAAGAATAATGACAATGTTTCTTTATGCCCTTCAGCTTATTGCCCTAGTATGGTTGGAATGGAGCCAACTGATTTACCACGAACGGGTGACACAAAGGCGAAGCTAATGATTGGTTATAAGTTCACGTGTGATGGACACGTGACCGGATGGAAGCTATACCGGATGTGGAATGGAACCGTATTTGCGTCAATATGGAGACCTCTTCTCAACACCACAAATAACTATCAGGTCATTTATTCCATGGAAATGCCAGCATCAGACCAAGGGAAACAATATGTAAATGAAATTGAGCCATTTCCTGTCACAAAGGGTGATTTCATTGGGATTCATTACCCAAATAATGCAATAGACTCTGTCATTCCTGAGACAAGGAACGATTCAAATGATAGTGATTATCTCAGAATAAAAACTTTTGTATATAGCGTAGAGGTGTATAACGAGGACATCGACAATACTACAGTCGTAGATGTATCTGATTTTACGCCCAATGAAAGAGCAATTGCGATAGCTGCTGAGTTTACCGAAAATTTCAAATATAGGAAAGGTAGGGATATTTTTCAGTCGGTGAATGTATTTAACAAATTATAACAGGTAATCCGTCTCAATGATTCGAATAATCAACAAAGTTTGTACGTGGTCATTTTACAAAATTATGGGAAAGGTAATGTTTTGTAAAAAGAACATCAGGTCAAAAAATGATTCAACAAACGTGCATGATGATTTTACTTGCAGAATGTCGGGATGACCGCAAAGGTGAAAAATATGAAGGGAGTATATCTCAGACCACTGATGGTATAACATGCCAACGTTGGGATGTCCAATTTCCCCATAAGCATGACAAAATGGACAGTTCATACTTTCCGGATCAACGTTTAGAAGATGCAGCAAATAACTGTAGAAATCCCTCAAATGACCCTGGGACAAAACCTTGGTGTTATACGAGTGACCCAAGCGTTCGATGGCAGTATTGTGATGTTCCTGCTTGTGGTATGTTGCAATAAGATAAATCAATAATTAAAAGATCGATCTGAGTCAATAAATACCTAACTTTATCTAAAACTGCTCGATTCATTTTAATGTACTATATGATATGTTTCTTTCCTGCAGCATGCCAAGCATCAAAATTAGGAAAGGAATACACTGGTAAACTAAATTTCACAAAGTCTGGTTTACCTTGCCAAAGATGGGACTCCCAAACACCACACCAACATCCAAACTTTACGGGATTTCCCAATGGTTCACAGAGTGAAGCTGAAAACTATTGTCGTAATCCAAACAACAATGCCGTGGGATTGTGGTGTTTTACGACAAATCCCAGTATATTTTGGGAACCTTGTGATGCTCCAAAATGCAGTGAGTAATCATGTTAAGAGAGCTTTAGAATTCCCACAACGGGTTAAGTACGTTGCTGATTTTAGATACGGACTAAATATTTTGATTCTTCAAATAAGTTGTAAAGTTGATAAGCTATAACATATGATGCAATATGATGACTTTGTATTTTAGATTGTAAAGCAACCGTAGCAGGGCATCAATTCACGGGGTCCATATCAGTTACGAAATCAGGAAAACGCTGTCAGCGCTGGGACAAACAGGACCCACACGAACACATTTATTATGACGTATCAAACTTCCCGGATATATCATTTGACGATGCGTCTAACCATTGTAGAAATCCTGACCAGACATACTCAAAGGGCCCTTGGTGCTACACAACCGATAGAGACGTCCGTTGGGAAGATTGTGCTGTTCCACTTTGTGGTAAAGTAGTAGTATCGGTGGGCAGGGGGAAATGGTCTGTGTATACCATATTGTCAGGATAATTTGGTTTGGTATATAATGTTTACCCATGGTACTGTGTATGTATACAATATTTCTATTTCCAGATTTCGCTATAAATGCTACAGAGGTTCCCCCTCTTACCCAGCCCACAGTTGCTCCAGGTAAATAATGTATAAACAATCTAGGTTATCATAATGTTAAGTCGAACATTGTAATAAGTCAGTATACTGTAAATTGTCATGCGCATGATACTCTGTGTAGCAGCATTGATGTGTTCCCACCCGGCCCCCTTGGTGTATAAACCTTTGTCGACTAGTTTGGGAAACATTTAAGTCAAGAATACCATGGCAACCTGCAGTGAATTGTTTCAAGGAACATTAACAAAAATCAGTCCTTTACAGGTCCACGTATCCATGCATCTAATTCACAATCCTTGCTTCCGGCTTTTTGACATCAGATGTTTTATAGGACAATGCCCATTGCGAGTAGGACGAATGCCGACAGATTTGAAGTTACATGGGACAAACTGGCTTCATCTTATGATTGGTAACCCTATGCCATGTGACGGTTACGTCACCGCTTGGGAGTATTATAGGACGAACATGTATTCTATAGCATTGGCAGGGATATGGCGTCCTATGGGGAATGATACATACAAGTTGCTTATGAAAACCATATTACCTGGACTTCCAGTCTACACTACGGGTAATGTAGAATCAATTTTAAAATGATATATACTATTTACATATTACCACTATCTGTAATTTAGTTATCCAAAAACTCATTCCATTTTTAATGGAAAACATTAACAATTCGATTGAATTCTAAAGTGATCAGATGAAAGATTGTCAACTAACGTATATAGTTGGCTGTTCTATTTAGATGTACGACGAATATTTTGTATTTCAGGTGTAAATAAAGTATATGTTCCACTTAAACGACCAGTTCAAAAGGGTGACGTTATTGGTGTCCATTTCTATTTTGGAGAACCACTGGTTGCTATCCCGATGTCTATTGGAAACGATGGCGTAAATCAAACAGAGCTATATGAGTAAAATATCGCTTTATTTACATAGTATTTTCATAGCATCTTTGCAAGTGTTCATTTATGAAAACATTATAATATTACACATTATTCAAGTACCTGTTATTAAGCAAATCTGAATTTCGTGAGTATGCTGGAATGCTTATCAAAGAAAATATATACGTTGTTTGCATCGGAATCCGAATTCCTACTCATTAGAACACCGTTTCGAAATATACGGAAAATGTATGATGTAAATGGTGTTCAATTTACTAGACCCTGCATACGTGCTTACATTTAACTGCATAGTTAATTGTTTGATATTTTCGTAGGACGATTGTTGCCAAACGGTACGACAGAGATATGGCTCCTGGTAATATCTTCGACTTTTCTGAGTGGAGTAAAGTAAAACTCACAATGGCGATATGGGCACACTTTGAAGGTACCGACTTGTTATTTTCATGAAAATGTTCGACTCCAAATCATATATATATCATTTATATTGCATAATTTATGTACATGTATCTTGTTATCACTTCGTACAATGAAATGTAAAACTGCACTTATCTATCGCGACAATTATGTTATTTGGTAGTTTTCGATAATACGCGCCCTTTAATCCACGTGCTTTTAAATTCGCGCTAATCACCCAGACGCGAATATAGCGGAAATTAGGGCACCTTGAAAATTTGGGCTTTTACAGTACTCAAAAATATCTGTTGTGATATGATATGTTGCAGCTTTGGACAACCAGACGTATGTCACACCAACTCCGACAGAACCTCCACTCTCCCTAAGTCATGGCAAGTATAAGTAAAACATGATGTAATACTACACGATATGATTTGAATTTGAGACTGACCAATTTGATTCAGGAAATTAGCTAGCGACATTTTTATTCCATTTATACAGAAGATGGCCCATTTGTATTCGAATCAGACGCGAAACCAGGATACTACATCGGTTATAACCCTCTAAAAGATGCATACTTGCTACCCAATGCCGAGAAACTATTTACGATCCACAACCCTGGCTTAACTTGGGAGTATGGAAATGTATCGCTTCAGTCAGTTGAATTCCCAGGATTCTTCCTGAGGGTGAATCATTTAGAATTATATCTCGAGTCATACGAGAAGTCCGTTATGAAGGATGACTTCAAACGAGATGCAACTTTTACAATGCGTGTAAGTGTGGTATCACCAATGATCTTAATCTGATTACTAAAATGTATCAATATACAGTGTGTTATGTACATCGATTATGGCATGTACTGTAGATTGATAAAAATAGAATAGCCATCATTGACTTGGGCTAATAAACTTGTATTTTAGGAGAGCTATTGGTTTGATAACTACACTGCCTTTGAATCAGTGACCCGACCTAAATATTTCATAAAAACAGAGAACACAAGGCTTGTCATTGCCCTCGACCAGGCTTCATCGATTGCTTTTAAACACGAAGCAGGGTTCAGGAAATGGAGGGAATGTAAACTGAGCAGACCTGGTACCTCCTACCAAGGCAAATTGAGCACTTCAAGAAATCACAAAATTTGCCAAAGATGGGATTCTCAGACTCCACACCGACACAATTTTACAGACTCTAGTTTGTTTCCCGATGATTCATTAGAAATGGCTGGAAATGCTTGTCGTAACCCTGATAATGATGCGAATGGACCTTGGTGCTTAGTGAGCGATCACGTCCTCACTTGGGACTATTGCGACATAGATTTCTGTGGTAAGATTTAGAATATAGTTTAACTTACACTGGTAGCATCACAGCTTTACGCACACTTAATCGAAAATATCATATACTTTCTTAAATATATCATCAACATTTCTTAAATACTGCCAATGTTATTTACATACTTGACATGTAAAACGTGCATACAATATGAGAATGCATTATTCAAAGGTTTTAAGCATTTAATAAGTATTACCGATATCTAATAATTTCGTTTTCAGAGTGTCGGTCAAGTTTTAAGGGCGAAAACTACCAGGGAACCGTGTCCAAAACAATCAGTGGTAAAACTTGTCAACGCTGGGACAGTCAATACCCACATGCGCATGCGTACACAGATGCAACCAAATTTCCTGGGGGAGATATAGAGGACGCAGCTAACCATTGTCGAAATCCACGCCCACTTTATTCGAATGCATGGTGCTTCACTACAGACCCCGACACTAGATTTGAAATATGTAACATCCCCATGTGTGGTAAGAAAAAACGAAAAATAAGCCCGAAAAATATTCCTTGTTTAGTGTTATCATAAAAAATTGACCTTCTACCCTTGAGAAAACCTCCATCACTCGGTCTAACGGCGAATTCAACTCATCTTGGATTTCTATAAAACACTTGCACTCGATCGAGATCCTTCATTTGTATCATATATATGTGCTTTATTTAAAACATGTTCTATATTACGTTCTAATTGTAGGATTTATGCCCATTGGGCCACCTATTACAATGCCCCCTATAACAAGACCACCGCCAGGTTAGTCCAAGCACTTGTACCATTTATTTTTTGTTTTTCAATATGAATAACATATGTGAAAATCAATTGTAAGTTATTTACATCAAAGTGTACATTTATTCTAATATTTTATTCAAGGAACTTGTCCAAAGGAAGTAGGAAGTCCTCCAACTGATCTGCCCCACACCGGAACTAATTGGGCCCACCTAATGACCGGCCATACGTTCCCGTGTGACGGTTACCTCAACGCCTGGCAGTACTTTAGAGGCAACCCTAATGGAAATGTTTATGCTACGATATGGCGCCCCATTGCCAAGTCTCAGCATCAACTCATCAAGAAGACACTTCTTCCTTCTGATACAGCGGGCATTCATACAGTAGCATTATCCCAACATGTTCCAATCAAACAGGGTGATTTCATTGGAATTCACTATGAGGCTGTCAGTACTGAACCGATTATACCTTTAGCTAAAGATGGCGACAATGCACTGTTTGCCTACGACCTATATGATACTGCTAATATTGAACGTTACAACGCGGATCTGAATGAAGGGAATGTGGTCGATCTTGGCATATGGAGTAAGAAAAGAGTAAGATTTGCTATCCGCGCTTTCTTGGAAGGTACGTTCAAAATGCATTGCTTACCAAAAACCACCGTAACGCAACGCATCTCTCTGTCTCTCTCTGCCTGTCTCTCTGACTGGACGCACCTTATCCAAGACCATTTAACCCTGGGTCACCATTCTTTAACATATTAAATGGGTCAAAGGGTATCTACGAAGGGCATTCCCTATCTTTATATTTGTCATTCACTTAGGATATGCTATGAAAACTCATAATAAAGTAACTTAGGTCAAAGTCATTCCAAAGTCATTTGTCAATATTTTTGGCGTTTAAAGGCATTGATGGGGGATGTTGTGACTATTGGCGAATGGCGACCCATTATGAGGTGGCCTGAGTTCAAGGTCAACATTAATGAGGTCAATGTCATCCCGATAGAGAATGTTATGTATCTAGGCATTTTGGCTTTTTAAGGCCATTTAGGGTTACTGTGACTCTAGAATCCATTCTCAAGTGAAATGTCAATGTCAAGATACTTGGCGTTTTAAGCTATTTCGGACTGCTTTGACCCCATGCCGACCCATTATTAGTCGACCTGAGGTCAATGTTTATGGATCAAGGTCATTCAAATGTAAAGGGTTGATATTAATATCGTAGTATTTGCCGTTTTAAGGCTTTGGGTCTACACTGACCCTTGGCTACCGAGGATTAATTAAAGTGACATGAGGTCAAACTTAAATTTCGTCGTTACATCAAATTAGGATACTCTGTTTCATCCAAATGGGTGGATTTCTAGCATGAGTTTAATTCGGAAACGACCCAGTATTTCTTTCTGGAAAAAAACGATTTGAAAAAAGTTGGAAGCATTTTTTTAATTTATTAAAGTATACTCTTCAAGTACTGTATGTCAAAACGTGAATGACCAAAATTCGAATGAAATACTAAAGATATATGCAAAATATAAACATGAACCAAGCATTATACTAATGGCAGATAGTTATGTGATATTGAAATTTTGTAGATCCGGATATAGAGTGCAAGATATCAGAAAATGGCGAGGAGTATAAAGGGCGTGTATCGGTGACCCAATACGGCATTCCTTGTCAACGTTGGGACTCGCAATCACCACATGCTCATAACTACGTGGATCCATCTCGGTAGGGCAACCATGTTGGAAGACTAATGTTAAATGGGAGAAATTGAATAATTTGTCAAACGAAGAGTAAAGATCATTATGTAAAAACACGTTTTCAAAACATTGATCATACCAGAACAACTGTTGTTTTAGGTTTCCAGACAAAGCCCTCTCAGATGCTGGTAGTTACTGTCGCAATCCATTGCCAGCTGATCCCAATGGACCATGGTGTTACACGACTGACCCAAGTATTATCTGGCAGTATTGCAACATACCTCCCTGTTGTAAGTGTATTTCCAAATGAGTACAACCTTCATTGCTCGTTGAACTTCATTAACAATCTCAAGACTAAAATATATAAGTTTCATAACCGACTGATGTACATTGAAATCCATTTATGCACGTTCTTCTCAATTAGAAAAGTCATCGACAGAAAGATTACTTAGTAATATGTATTTGCTATTAATTCTAATTTCAAGAGTTCATGCTTTTTGATGACTGTGTTTGATTTTCATTTGTCCTTGGTAGTCATTATCTTAGGTAACTTACTGCCTTGATCATTCCAGCTACCCCTGCTAATACAACGACCTCACCTTCCACAACGAAGTCCCCATCTGGAGCATCGAGTTAGTATTCAGACTGTTTCTTAATCTTTGCTAACTAAAAGTAATTTTCAATATGACATCTGATCAATTTAATTTAATTTTCTATTCACTATTTTTTTTATTTCAGAACAAGGTCCATTATACATAGTTTCTAAGAATAAACCTGCTCATGATTTCGGGTTGGATAGTAACGGAAGAGGCATACTCATGAGAGGCGGTGATTTATTTTATATATTAAGTCCAGGTCTGAACTTCCAGAAAGGAACTATCTCTTTCGAATCCGTTGAACTTCCAGGATCATTTCTACGAAACTCAGGTGGTAAAATTAAATTGGAGGAATTCTCGAGTGTTCCATCTTTTCTTCATAGTGCCACTTTCTGGGAAAGAGAGAATCAGTTTTTCAGCAACTACACGGCATATGAATCAGTGGAGAACCCTGGATTTTACATTAGACACTCGGCGAACAGCCTCGTACTCGAGGAGTTTAGTGGACGACATGTGTTTACGGAGGATGCAAGTTTCTGGAATGTAATAGGTATGGAATTGGACAAATCGACGTGTTGCTAAAATCATGCATACACTTGAAAATCTCAGTCGATTTTATGTTAATCAAGGTCATTGAAACATGGAATCAATCGCATTCTTTTGAAAATTAATAAAACCGAATTAGCAGATGCGTTTATTTACTGCTTTTTATTTAGCAAACTGTACTGATAAAGTTGGTTCTACACCTGTCCAATACCCTAGAATTGGAGTCACAACTGCGTTACTTATGACAAACAATACATTTCCTTGTGATGGCTACGTCACTCGGTGGGAATACTTCCGGGTCACTGGAGCACCTGCATTCGTTGGAGTGTGGCGCTTTAACGGTGGTACTAGTTACACTCTAGTTGCTGAACGCGTGTTATCGTCAACTTTAGCCAACCACACTGGGTTAGAAGAGTTCACACCAAGAGATCCAGTTAAAGTAAAAAAGGGTGATTTTATAGGTATGTACATGGAGAAAAGTATGGTTAATTAAAGTGACTTAATTGTTAGTACAACAATGTGACAAAAACATCAAAACTGTACTTTATTACTACTAGATTTATTTCCCCTCCATTACTTGGAGATAATATAATAATTATGTATTACAGACATATCGAATACTTGAGAATATCTTATTTCTAAACAGGTGTAACATACATAGAGCTTACGAGGAGACCCGCCATACCTGCAGCTACAATTGATGATGGGTTTGTCGGCGATGACCGTCTCTTTGACACGATAAATGCGCAGTTTTATACCGATGATACAAATGTTGGCAAATCAATCGACGTCTCTGGTTATCAACCTACAAAAGTTACAGTTGCACTCGCGATCCGTGCACATTTTAGAGGTATTAAACTACTAATAAAAATCATAAAACACCTACACTGACAACGCATATTACCTTTATCGTGTGTGACGTGACGTGAACGCACATTTGGAAATCAAAATACTGCCATGTTTTACATAGTCAACATTATCAATAATAAGTCTTAGACCATGTATTTGTATGGTTTGTTTTTAGAGTCGAATCCACCTGCCCCGCCTCTTCCTCCATCAGCCTCTGGTAAGTCAGAATATTTCCATATATTACTTATTCAGTGGATCCGTTTTTAAATGTTGTTATATACTCATACTGTAGAATGTTGAATTATGAATATAATTAGTTCACCACTACGATGGTTTGAATATATTTCAATCACAATTGAATCATTGAGGGATGCATTGACATTTAATGAATCCAAATAGTATAATCAAGTTATCCCTAGAAAGCAACGCGAGAACGATTTGATGTAAGGGATTACCCTTTGGGACAACCAAACCAAATATAAAAATGCCCAATGGACGCTACACTACTTTCTGGCAAAACTTGGATTAATATGAAACAGTTTATACTCGCCATTGACGAGATATTAAAAATTATTAAACATAACATATTTTGTAATTGCTTTTTACAAACACTTTTTGTTTTGTAGACTGCAAACATACCGGGAGGGGAACTAGATACACAGGGACAAAGACGAGAACAAGAAGAGGGTTCATTTGCCAGAGGTGGGACAGTCAAACCCCACATAGACATGACAAAATAGACGCTGAACTTTTCCCCGACAAGACATTGGCTGATGCCGCGAATTTTTGCAGGTTTGATTTACGAGTAAAACCATGGGATTGATCTCCAACGCATTAAAAAGGCTATTCATTGAATGAAACTTTTATCATAACCAGTATTAGAAAAACTACTTTGTTTGCATTCGAGATCCTGTTTTTTTCAGGAATCCGCAGGGTGATATTGGCGAGGAGCCATGGTGTTACACTTTAGATCCTGGCACTGTTTGGGACTATTGTGACATTCCTAACTGTGGTAAGCTCATCTTATAACTTCAATATTTTACCTTAAAAACTTGTATTTAATGATATTTTTATAAGCCTGAACAGTACAATATGAGGATACAAATGGAAATACTTTAACATTTGAAAAATGGATTAATTCTTATAATGATGTATTAATTAAATTATGTAAATTGTCATGTGAGGCGAAACAATTTTAAATAAATTATTGTATCGTTGCACCAAATGCCCAAATGATTAGGAGATGGTTTGATAAATAGATTGAACGAAGTTGGATTAAGCATATCTTGTCTATATATTCTCCAGACTGCAGTGCCCTGGAGCTTGGCACAGATTACATGGGAACTGTTAATTCATCAAGAAGTGGCTTCCAGTGTCAGAGATGGGATTCACAAACTCCAAATCCTCATCCTATGTACAATGATACAAGCTTTCCCGATGGTTCTGCGACTCTTGCTGAAAACTTTTGTAGAAACCCCGATAACTCATCTTCAGGCCCTTGGTGCTTCACCCTTCAACCAGGTGTCCCGAGAGAGGAGTGTGATATTGCTCGATGTGGTAGGTATATGTATATTATCTTATGTCATTGAGTGATTAATGTAAGGGACGCATAGATTGTTGTTTTACCTAGTGAGTAAGGACAATAAAAATACTGAAAATATAGGTGAAGATATCAGCTTGTGTATTGACTGCATTTTAATCAGTATTACTGTATTATCAGTTCTACTTTTGATTGTCTAGTTATTAGGGTGGCTCAAAATAAATTTTTTTTGGAAATGTTATGCTCCCTACATGAATCGAGTTGCATTTTGGGGTAAATATCACCTGTGATTTTTTTCAATTTTTTTAGTCAACTTTTAGGGGTCCCCCACAACCCATAGGCTTAACATTTGCCCATAGGCTTAACATTGGTGGGCGTCGCCCAAAAAACGTACTTTATAGAAGCTCTTTTTCTAGTGATTCAATTATATTCTTTGAAGAAAACCAACATTGTATATGATATTAATAGATGTTTAAATCATCATAATACTCTGTTTCATCATGTGAACTTATATAAAAGGTTATACTTACAATATCCTATTAACAAAATATATATAACAAGGCTTGTATAATTATTTGAACAAGTACAGTTTTAGAGAATCATGTCTCATATATGATTGGTATTTAAACTGAAAAAGGTATATTCATTCTTGTCATTTGATGTTTTAAACATGGTTCAAATCAGCTTTTCTTATATGTGACACTCTTCGTCTATGATCTGAGCGTACAACACATACAATGTCACGATGCGCCGCGTCATGGGTCATTTGAGAGCATTCCTGTACCAGCTTCACTGCTCGTTTAGCTGGATCATTAACAGAATGCAGGTCTTGACAGAAATTCTATCGGCAGTACGACCCTGATATAGCAAACGCAGCTCTTCGCAGTGTAAGACGCCATCTATGGTACCTCTGCCCTGAATTTGTTGTTTTGTCCCTATTCGACGAATACACTGCCAGAGAGGAGAAGCAGGAGTTTGCTACAGCACTGCTCAACATCCCACGGCCTGTATAATTTGCAACTGGCAAACCAGGACAGCCTGACTTCAACCCAGTTGCTGCTCACTTAGGCAATATTAAACCATCACTAGCAATGTTTGTCACTGAGAGATCATGGCTCTTATTTCAAATCCTGGAATCAGATCCAATTATATGGCTTCAAGAGAATCCAGTTGCATGGCATACACATCCAACTTATGTTCAAACCCAGAATTTCTGTCAAGACCTGCATTCTGTTAATGATCCAGCTGAACGAGCAGTGAAGCTGGTACAGGAATGCTCTCAAATGACCCATGATGTGGCGCATCGTGACAATGTATGTGTTGTACGCTCAGATCAAAGAGGAAGAGTGTCACATCTAAGAAAAGCTGATCTGAACCATGTTTAAAACATCAAATGTCAAGAATGAATATACCTTTTACAGTTTAAACAATTATAATGACAATACCAAATCATATACCAAACATGATTCTCTAAAACTGTACTTGTTCAAATAATTATACTGGTCCAATGTACCTGATATTTTGGTAATAGGATATGGTAAGTATAACCTTTTATATAAGTTCATATGATGAAACAGAGTAATATGATGATTTAAACATCTAATCATATCATATACAATGTTGTTTTTCTTCTGACAACATAAATAAATCACTAGAAAAAAAGCTTCTACAAAGTACGATTTTTGGCGACGCCCACTAATGTAAAGCCTATGGGCAAACTTCAAAGGCTGTGGGGGACCCCTAAAAGTTGACATTAAAATTTGAAAAAAAATCACAGGTGATATTTACCCCAAAATGCAACTCGATTCATGTAGGGAGCATAACATTTCCAAAAAAAAATTATTTTGAGCCACCCTACTAGTTATTCATTTACAATTCACAATTAGTAACATACTTTTAAATTGAGGAAGGACGGATAAGTAAAAGAATATTAGCAAGTGTTACATTATGGTTTTATTCTAGAATGTAAAGCCACCAAAGGGGGTTGGGAATATGGAGGTAGAAGATCTAAAACAATCTCAGGTCGCACTTGTCAGAGGTGGGATCAACAGACGCCACATAATCACGTGTAAGTAAGCAACTTTCCAGACGTTTACCAGCTTATTATTAGCACATCTATAGTAGTACCTATTCGTTTGTCAAATTATTAACGTTTAAGGCCGCGGAAACAACAAGTATTACATTTGCCAGGTTCGATCTCAATTTACCAACTTCATCATAGGAAATTCAACAATTTGTTTTGTATTTTTTTCAATGATACTACTGATTTTACAGGGAAATATGAAGAAATAAAAAAATTATTGAATCGTATTACATGAAAAAATCGTATTGGAGCGCATTACTTGAAGAAATCGTATTGTGCCCGGGAAAAATCGTTTTGAAGCGTATTAACCTATTTTTGGTTTCCAGGTTATTTTTAATATTTTAAACCTTTAACCTTTTTAACTTCTAACAATGCGCATTTATTAATATAATGTAACATTTTAGAGGGATGTATTATTGAATTAATCGCCTATTTCTGGTCGGGATTGAATATGGGTTTTATTCCACAGAAATATCATATTACCCTTGGGCAATATGATATTGACACTCGGCCGATTCGCTCCCTTCGGCCAATATCATATTGTTCCTCGGAATAAAATCTATATTCAATCCCTCCAAGAAAATAACCTATATGTATCGTATCGTATCGTATTATACTGTATTGTATTGTATTGTATTGTATTAAGTATTGTATTGTATTGAAATGATAGTCCAATGCTTAACACTACTTCAAATAAAACGGTACCATGGTGTACAAACACACTGTATAACTATTATAGATTCACAGAAGATTGGATGTTTCCTGACGCGACTGTGTCTGACGCAAAATCTTACTGTCGTAACCCAGACATACTTGTATTTGGTGGACCATGGTGCTACACAACTGACCCTGACCAACGGACAGAGTTCTGCGATATTGAGCTGTGTCGTAAGTTGTTTTGTAACCGTTACTTATACATGCAAAACTGTTCAAAATGAGACTCAAAATTTCGAGTTTTGGACGTTTGACCCTTCATAAATCATAACACACAACTCTTTCAAGAAAATAATCAGCATTCTTTGCAAAACGGTATGCTCTCAAATGTTGAAATGCATTTTATTTTCGTTAAATAACCGACAGAGTGAAGTAGTGACTTAAAGTGTGACTATGCAGTTTGAATATGTGTAAGTAAGGTCTTGAGGAATTATCACATTATTTACGTCATAGAATTATCAGCATTGTTTTACATCAACCACATAATTATCATCTTCCAGCAACGCCTCCTACCACACCAAACCCAGCGACCACATCACCAACCACACCATTATCCACTGCAACGCCTCCTGAATGTCCAGAGTTCGTTGGCAGACCAGTAGGTGATCTTCCCCTCAGAGGCAATCCTTGGGCACACATCATGCTGAACATGACGTTTCCATGCGATGGCTATGTCACTGGATGGGAATATTACCGGGATAAGCTCAACGTGAATGTATATGTTGATATCTGGAGACGGCTATCTCCAACACCATTTAAGAGTAAATTAGAAGGTTCCACTAGGACCACACTTCCTCAACGATTTGAGCTCATCGCGAAATCAGTGTTAGCTACAACTAAAGATACTGCCTTGGGTGTTAATGTCGAAATGTTACCAAATAAAATATTTGTGAAAAGAGGTGATATCATTGGACTGCATTACGATGCAATAAACTCCCCGGTTGTTATTCCGAGCTCAAATGGAGGAAATGGGCTAGTACCACAAGAGGAACTTTATCAGACGGTCAGTTTACCGAGAGACAATGGGGACCTAACTCCAGGGAATTTGGTTGATGTCACGCCCTGGTCTTCTGCAAAGATGGTGTTTGCTCTGAGGGCTGTGTTTGAAGGTGGGCCCATCTGTCTAAATTAAATAATCTCTCCATTACGTGTTCATAATTCAGTACAAAACTTATGTTGTGCACCAGGCGGTTTGAATTGAATAACACATGTATTCTGTTTCGTGTTCTATTATTTAGGTATTTCCAACACATCTGGGCCAATACCTACAATTGTGCCACCGCAAACAGCCAAAGGTATGTAGCTAATATGTTAAATTCGTGTCCTTGATAATTTTGAGAGTAACTGAAAGATCTACAAAAACATCTGATAATAAATAATTCTAATGATTAGGGACCACTTCTTCACCCTTTGGTATCTTTCTTTAACCTTTAGGAAGTGGTCCCTATTACTTCGAGACAAAGACTCTACCACGCCTGGATATAGGATTCACAAACACTGGAAAGGGAGTTGTCAATGCCACAGGGGAACTTCTGTTTTTGGACAGGGGGCAAAACGGAGCTATTCAAACCGTCTCAATCGAATCACAAAACAGACCAGGATGGTATCTAAGACAAAGAGGGTTCGACTTCTACTTAGAGGAGTTGGCAAACGCAACCAATGTGCCTCGCTTTGAAGACGATGCTACGTTTATAATGGAGAATGATAAATGGTTCCCTGGTTATACAATTTTCCAAACATTTACATACGGCGATCATTACATGGCGCACGACGATGAATATTCACTTAAGGTCAAACAATATGTGGACAATGATGAATTTAAGGATATGACTAGCTTCAAACTTATTTTAGGTAAGTTTTAGAAATTAGAGATGTCAAACAATATGTCTCAAGAAAATAGTTCCATATTTTTTTCTATTATGATGGGTTCAGGTGGCGAAGAACAGCTGAACAATAAACATATTAAGTAGATTATTCTCAGACAAAAATCACTCATTCCGGGCGGAATCATTTGATTTATTTGCCTTCAATATATTTACTTGATCTCTTAATGTATGATTCATAGACATATTTATCACTTATAGTCGTTTTAAAATATATGAATAAATAGACACACATCCCTTCAATTTTGTGACAATATCAACAATTCCATGTAGAACTGGTTGTTTGTAGAATGTAAAATTACAAGTATGGCGTCCACATACTCGGGGAAACGCAGAACAACTCGACAGGGGTACACATGTCAGCGTTGGGACAAACAAGCACCTCATAGTCATCCTTATACTGATCCAAATATGTACCCAGACGAGACATTAGACGATGCTAGTAATTCCTGCAGAAATCCTGATAATGATCCACTTGGACCATGGTGCTATACAACTGATCCAGATAAGCGAATGGATTTCTGCGATATACCATTTTGCGGTGACTATTTCATAATCGATCTTGCTGACTCTTCATATTCCTCAACATTATGTTCATAATTTGTAAAAGTGATTTCTCGACCCATATAGACTTTTATAGTCAACCGTATTCCAAGCGCTATGCCGAGTGTCCTAACTTAAACATTTTCATGACTTTCAGGTTGCAAAGTAGATAACATTGGGTTAGACTATCAAGGCACAATATCAATGACAAGCGTTGGATTTTCATGTCAACGATGGGATACCCAATTTCCACACAGACACGAATTTTCAAATCCATCCAAATTTCCCGATAGAACGCTACAGGAAGCATCTAACTACTGCCGGAATCCGACCCCTGGACGAGAGTTTGGTCCTTGGTGCTACACGACCGATCCGGACATCAGGTGGTCCTATTGCTATATTCCATTTTGTGGTGAGTGATACAGAAATACTTAGAGAAAAGTATACGAGGCACTCTGTAGAAAGTATTAGAGTTAAGATTAGTGCATTGAGAACATGGAGTTCGGGCATTGGAAATAAATACCCCATGCCGAATCGCAAGGGTACTTAGGATTGTCATTGGTATAATGCAACAGATCCGGTGTAAAAGAGTAGGAGGTCCTATCAATATATGGTCCTCATCCCTATGATTTATATGGTGACCTAATTACAACTCTTTCTTTATTATCTTATACACAATCAGGGCCAGTAAGGGCCGTTAAGAAGGGGGACCATAATCCCCGGGGACCATAATTTCTTCACACCGGATCAACTTTTCACTTTCAGCGAGTTTTGGTGTTACACCAGCGCCTCCTACATTACCACCATCTACGCCTAAACCAGGTTAGTTCAAATCATCTAGTAAGTAATATTATTTTCTTGCAGACAACAGCCACTATTATACATTCGTCCAGCAAATCACCTTTTGACATTTTACGTTTGCTTTTAAACACAATGCTACATGTAAATGAATACGATACAAAATACAATTAAATGAGGAAATATAGTTTTAAAAATTATATTCAATTTTATACTTTTTGTTTTTTGTTTTACTTCAGGAACATGTGCAACGAGCGTAGGTCGAGAGCCTAGTGATTTGCCATACCATGGAGACAAGTGGGCACATCTCATGACAGGGAATACTTTTCCATGTGATTCTAAAATAGAATCGTGGGAATATTATATCGATGATAACTCATTGACATCTGCTTACCTTACGACATGGCGTCCTGTTGCTAAATCTCGTTTCACTCTTATCAGTTCTACCCGAGTTGTAGCGACCCGCCCAGGGAATCATTCTGTTATTCTAACACAACAAATAGATGTAAAACAAGGCGACTTTATTGGTATACACTATGAACATAAGGCTAAAGGTGGCATCATCCCGTTCTCAAGAGGAAACGATGATGTTGTCCCAGATAATCAACTTTTTGACACTGTGATTCTCCCAAGAGATGATTCTGACTTCCATGTTGGAAATACTATAGATCTCAGCGGCTGGTCTACTATCAAGGCTACATTTGCAGTAATTGCAAGGCTGGAGGGGTATGGGAAACCTATACCAACTCCAGCACCAACTGGATCCCCTCCTCCAATTAATAAAGGTGAGATCAATACTTGATAATTCTCCATGTCTTGCTTTATCGATTGCAATGTTATCAAAATGTTATGTTCTGGATAAACTATGAGTACTGGGTTTAAGAGAAAAAAATAGTTCTCATAAAACACAATGGGAAGGGTTTATCTAACTTAAACCCTGCAGTGAATTTTGATTTCTTTTGTATTGACTATGAGGTAGGTGTCTTGAGAAGTGAGTGCGTGTAATTAGTTCAGCTCCATTGCACTGCATGTAACAGGTCGGATACAGTTTGAAATCTCGTTTCCTTTTTTGTTTTACTATTCAACATTGAATGAGTGAATAGGGACTTAATCAGCCCAACTTTAGTGCACTGCATGTGACAGTTAATCGTCTTTTATGTCACGCTAATGCCTTTGGTTACATTTGCTCCGATCCATCGGCCGGCGCCCGCCCGATTGAGTGGTTTGCTCAATATTGTATTCAATTTTGAACAAAATACTCAAACGGCCGGGCGCCGTAGAGAAAATCTGAGCAAATGTGACCAAGGCATAAAGGAGGAGGGAAAGTATCGCAACAGATTTCGGACAGTCATATATTGGATCTCTGCTATTTTCTGAGGATTTAAACAGGTGCATATGTTAGGCCAGTCCAGTGCATTATCTCCCGGAAAAGCACTCATATTGATGATAAAAATAATTTTGACTTTGAGACAAGGGAGATGCAAACAACCCACCCACATGTATTTTCTGAAATGTTGTCCTGATTTCCAACCCCTTCCACCCCTGCTTTTTCAATTTGTGTTGCATCAATATGTTGCGTTTTAAGACACAGATAACCTCTTAAAAGGTATAAGGGATTCCCCTTCAATAAAGTGGAAAAAATATTTCTCATAATATTTTCCCACAGGGAAAACTCATGCGATCCATCGTTTTCACCTAATTTTGGTCACCTATAATAGATATCTTCAAAACCCCTGAAGGGATTACTTATTCCTTTAAAGAGGTTAATTGTGTGTCAAAAAGCAACAATTGATGCAACGAAAATTGGAAAAACATGAGTGGAAGAGGTTGAAAATCAGTACAACATTTCAGAAAAAACACGTGGGTGGGTTGTTTGTATCTTCCCTGTCTCAAAGTCAAATTATTTTTTCATCTCTATGAATGCTTTTTCTGTAAGTAATGCATTGGCCTAGCATATGCACCTGTTTAAATCCCCAGAAAATAGCCAAAATCCAACATATGACTGTCCGAAATCTGTTGCGATACTCTCCCTCCTCCTTTGGATAGCTTACCAAGTGTCAATTCTTGAAAAACACTAGAAAAAGAATACACTCTTCTTCGTAACAATTACATATATTCTTTAAAATAAACAAAAGTTCAATTCATGGTGTTGATTCATAAAACGGTAATGGCACACTGTACGCAAGTGATTTAATGAGCTTCGTAGGTAATGGAAATACGTATGATACTCATGCCCATGGAAATTCTTATATGCACTTTCAGAATGCAAGTACACACAGCTTGGCTCCGAGTATATGGGTCAACAAAAAGTCACAACTGGGCAGACTGAATGTCAACGCTGGGATTCGCAGACGCCTCACAAACACAATTATTACGGAAATTCAAGGTAAAGTATCAGTTTTGTTCGAGCACATGTATTGATAGATGTTAAATCTCAAATACATTACGAGAAACAATTTTTGATCTACCACACATTTTTAATCAAAGTCAAATCAATTCGCATAATTATGACTTACACCCCAGTCACATTTGTCGTACGGAGGCCGTGCGTCGACTGCAGATCAATTAAATCAGTGTATTTCTGCGGCGAGCGTAGGAAAACTACCCTCGCCTTGTGGCCTCCGTACGGCGTATCCAGTTTTTTACAGGCCGCAGGGTCGCCAAAGAAATTATAACTCGGAGTTATAATATTTGTTCATTTCTGAGGTCCCCGGAGAAATCAACTGGCTCAACAAGATTGGATCATTATTTGTCAATGTTTCACGATCACTTTTCATCTGATATTACATCCTAGCACTATGAATAACATTTATAAATTGTCACGATGTAAATAAAATGAAAAAAATATTATTTATCAACAGAAATTTAAAATTCACCGTGCGGCTGCCGTGGGAAATGTGACTGCAAAAGTATGAGAGCGCAGAAATTCCACGGCGAGCGTAGCAATGTTACTGGCCGCAGAAATGATAGACCGCAAGGTCGCCGTAGGAAATGTGACTGGGGTGTTAGACAACGGGCTGTTATGCTACGATTATTATGCAGCAGTTAAGCGGTATTGTGTATATATATGGCATCAAAAATTTATGCCACACACGACGCAAAATTTTTCAAAATACATCAATTTCAGATTTCCCGAAAAGAACGTTACTGCAGCAGGCAACAATTGTAGGAATCCTGACAAGAAGCCCGGTGGACCCTGGTGTTTCACAATGAACCCTAACGTCACATGGGAATATTGCACAGTGCCCTATTGTGGTTAGTGCATTTCAAGATATAGCTCTGACTTTGGTTTTGGAAAATGTACTGTAGAATGAAGGTCTTTAACAATTACAACATCTGCTGGATTTTGTGATTTTATCACATTTTTAAGTCAACCAGTGTTCAACCTTTATCGACTTGGGCATTTTATGAAACGATTTTAGGTAACTTATAACACACGACAAGGATCATTGTCTCTACATGAGAATCATCAAATGTATCTTATTGTGAACACTACTAATACATTGTAGTGCAGTCAGAATGTGGGTTTGAGCGTGCGTCCGGAGGGATTTTATGAGACATATTTTTTTGTGTTACTAGTATGTTTTTACATGTTTCTATGAATTATTGGACCTTGGTTTTTCAGCTTTTAGATTTTATAGCCATTTTACCCCCCATGGGCTGCAATTTGGACCCCTACTATGAAATTGGTCTACAACTCCAAGAATACTTTGTGGAATGGATCCATATTACCAGGGTATGTTGGTATGGGGTAGCTTGATGTGTCATAAAAATTTCATGCCTGACGCTTTGTTGGTTGCTATGGAAACGGATAAAACATACCTTGCGCACCTCAATTTTCAGGGCATTTTTTCAGGTAGGACAAAGAAAATGAGCTTATATTAAGTCTCTGATTTGGAGGGAAGGTATAAAATGTGCATAGAAAACATCTAAAAACCATAACCAATAATTCTGAGTATAGATCGATGCATTTAATTTCAGATTTTGGTTTCCTATGGGTCTGTGAATTACACAGGGGTCTATTTCACCCATTCGGACCCTAGCATTGGATGGATGCTATAACTTTTGAATTAAGGCAGATACAGATCTCATATTTTCAGATCTCAGAGAATGATTGATTTTGGGTATTGTATCAGATGTTGGGACTTGGTATGTGATTGGTTGCCTTGGTAACTAGGTTAAACACTTAGCGGAATGCCATACAGTATTGTATTATGTCGTTATTAAATTGAATCTTACAATTTTAATATTCTACAATTTTGAGGTTGACAATTTGATGTTGATTTTAGTAATACTTGATTTGTAAACTAGTTCAGAAAATGTCATTGATAAGTTATGAAAATTCACATGTGGCTTGTCATGACTCTTCAAAGGAGGAGGTTTAAAAGTATATGAACACATGGTTTTTTGAATAATATTCAAAATATAGCTAATTTTATAGGTAAGATCAAGCATATTTTCTTTTTTTTTCAGTTACTTTAGCTACTTGTGCAATGTTCATATTACAAAAGAGCAATTCAGTTTGAATTTAAAAATATCTTAAGAAATCTTCACCCATGTGTGACCTGAGTTCCAAATGTTTATCATAAATCATAATTAATTAAGACTCTGATAGCCTTGTATAGAATATAAAAACTACATACAGTTTAGTAAATTTTTGATTTTGAAAAGTTCTGATTTCCTTTAAGGTCCAACATGTCAGACCATCTGCTAAGAAAAAGGCCCAGTTCAAGCACAAGCCCAGCACCTCCAAGTAGCAGGCCCAAACACTTATTCTCAGACAAAGAATGTCTATTCTGTGAAAAACATATAAAATACTTGAAAGGAAATAAAAAAGACACTTTAATACAATGTTTGACAAAAAGTGCCATGGAAACCATTATTCAATCAATTAAGAAGAAAGAAGATTGGGCCTTATTGTCAAAAGTTGGTGATCGTGATCTTATTGCATATGAGGCGATGTATCATAGTAGTTGTATGAGGGCCTACACAAGATCTAGTCCTAATAAAAGTTTGAATGACAGTAATGGTGACAAATATGAAGAGATGGATGACTATATTGTGCTTCACATCTATGAATATATTGATCAAAAAGTAATAGCTGAAAACCAAATTGTGACATTGGATCAATTAACACTATGGTACAAAGAAAAAGTGAACAATGATGCGTTGAAGCATGTCAGGCCCTGTAGGATAAAGAACAGTATTATGTGTCGATATGGTGATGATGTCAAGTTCTATCTATCAGATAAAACTGAATATATCTACAATTCCAATCTGACTGTAAATGATCTCGTAGAGTCAAGCTACAACTATTTCAACATGAACAGTGATGAACTAATAAAGAAAACAGCAAATATAGTTCACAATGAAATATCCGAAGCCAGCCAAGCAAATGTGGAACCTACATGGCCTCCAAATGTGGATGAACTTATGGGCAAAATGAACTCATCAGTGCCAAAGAATCTTGAACTATTATTGTCTATTATTTTATGTGGTAAATCAGAAACACAAGACAAAAAGCAAACATGTTATATAAATTCAATCGCACAGGACATTATTTACTGTTCTTGTAACAAGATGTGGTATCAAATACCTCCTAAACACCAGCTTTTAGCCATATCTGTGCACCATATGACAGGTAGCAAACAGCTTGTGCAGCTTTTGAATAGGTTAGGTCATTGTGTCACGTACACTAATGTTCTTGAAATTGAAACTGCTTTTTGTGAGAAGGTTCAGAATCAAATATCCCTCATTCCACCTACAGTATCAATACCACTCAATG